CGAACTCATTCGTTGCTTTGATAATCTTTAATTCTGAATTGAAATGATTAGATCTAAACTAATGAAACTAGAGTTATATACTGTTATAAATTACCTCATTTTTTTTTCTCTGAGTGCCAAAATAGAATATTCTAGAAACAATATTATTATGTTAGCAACGCTAATCTCGTTACATATTAAGTATCAACCATAAATATGTATATATGTCCTACAAGGTTTAATTCGAATTAGTATTTTGGAATTGAGTTGAATTAATGGTATGATTTTTTAATGATTAGTAGAAAGATACCATAAACCAAAATTTGTCTCGATTAGTAGAAATTGGAATGGAAACAACAATTTAGTAGTTAGCTTTAATGATTTGAGTTTGAATCTTGATGAAATAATTTTATTTTATTTTTATGAATCAAAACCAATGATCATTAAAAAAATCGATTTGATTCTGATTCGAAATTTAATAGAATCAGGATCATAATTGTGGAACCAAAATCGATAGTTGTAAAACCGAGACAAACGATTCAGGAGCTGTTAACAGGACTACCTGTAACCAGAGCGATCGGCTGATGGCGTTTGCCATGCCATGCCATTAACATTCGACTCTCTCCCGCACTTAAAAAAAGAGGCTAACATGACCATGCAACTCCTGCCCGAACTTTACAGTCTCTGTCAAATATCGAGGTTGAGTTCATGCACTTAGGAAATATGTTAGCAGTTCCATAGTAGTATGGTATGAATAAAAAAGAGGAAAACAAGATATGCATGGTGATTGTGTAGCCACTCATGAACATTATTACCATGTATTTATAAGGTAAAGAATGTTCAAATCACATGTACTTTCTGAATCCCAATGCGCAATGGGATACAGTAAATGTTTTGATCCCAAGATCAGATGTAGGTTCAGCAAATGAAAAGCAACATAGGTTAATGGGAGAAAGAAGATCATAACAATCACTAACACATCAAAATGTTTACAAACATAGATGTTAATAAATAATGACAGCAATGGTGTGAGAAAGCGAAATCAAATTTCCAAGATGCATCAGGTAACTCACATCTTCAATTGGATGGTAGAGATCCGTATGACTCTTGAGTTGAAAAAGAAAAGACTAAAGAGGAAATCAAGTAAATTGAAAAAAAATAAAACCTAAGAGTTAATGGATCTATTAAAAGAAAAAAAATTATTGAATTGAAATGAGTGTTCAAAGCAAAGTATAATATAGATAGAAGCATTCAAAATATAAGGTTTGGTTTGTAGTTAAAAGATATTCACAGGAATAAAGTATTAATTTTGAAAATACTTTTTCTCTGAGCTAGTATGTTTGACCCATTTTTTCTTAGTGTGTTTGGATTGCTACTATTATTGTCTTGATTTGGATACCATTTTCTTTTATTGCTATGAGAGCCTATTGTAAAAAATAATACTCTTGACATATTAAGGCTACGAAACATTTGTTAAGCTTAAAATTTTTTTTGTTCAGCCTCATTTGTCTCCATGCCTTTTTCGTTCTATTAAATAGGAAACATATGGGCATTCATTGTCATGTTCATATCTTGATAAATTTCTATTTTGAGTCTTGATAGAAATTGATCCACCCTTAAGACATTAATGCTAATCATATGGGGTGTAAATTGGGATAACTTCTTAAACTTTTTAATATAATCTATTACTGATTAGCCTTCTTATTTGATATTAACAAATTATATTATTTTGGTTGATTAGTGGGTTACACTGAAATATATTTGATAAAGAATCTCCTTAATCTTTCCTAGATATTTGTTTAGCATATCCAATCACCCTTCTTGCATCTCACTAGTGATGAGCAACTTTTTGCATCATATAAGTGGCACAATTAATTTTATCATTATTTGAAATTCTTGACTCGAATATTCACTCAATATTTCTTATTCATTCCTCGCCATTAGTTGATTTATATCACATTCAAAGATTGATGGTTCATTTATTCTAATTCTCTCACTTACTGTTCTAAAACACTATGTCCTCAAGTCCTTGGGCTAATAACTACTCTAGTTGTCTTGATTGTCTCTCCATCAATTCTGTTAGCCTATTAATTACTGTATCTCTTTGATATCCTTTTGTAGACGCCTCTCTATAATCTGAAGTCCTCTCCTGAACATTACTAGAGCTACTAGTTGTTGAATCACAAATTATGATGATGAAATCAATTAATTAGTTTAAACTAATGAGCGTATGAGAAAAGTGACTTAGGACAAACTTCGATCATGGAAAGACAAATCATTAAAGTAAGAGAATTAGACATTGGGCCAAAGAGCATTATATCATAGATCAAGCATCGAGCCAGAAGGATCAAGCATTGCGCTAAGAAGATCAGATATTATGGGAGGTCAACATGCCGATGGATTGAGCAATATGCTGAAGGAAAGGATAATGTGCCGAAGGTTTGGATAAAGTACCAAATGAACATATGAATATACGAGATTCTATTATAAAAGAGAGGTGTGAAGGTTCTCTCCTAAACTTATGAAAAGGAGAAAGAGTTACAACAAGGGTAGTTAATCTTTGCCCATTGAAAAGAAGATCAATAGTGGAAGCCAGTAGCCTCGAGAGAAGAAGAATCAGGAGTTGACGTAGGTCGGGACGACCGAACCACTATAAATTTGATTTATCAATTGAACTTTTAAATCGAAACTTTATTTCAAAAAAGCACTAATTCACCTCCCTCCCTCTTTTAGTGCCATTACAATCCTAACAATTGATATCAAAGCCTGATTCTCTCAATTGGTATAACACCAAAGTGAGATTAGATGGCTTTTTCTGATAATCAAGAGAGTCACTCTATCACTCGTACTCCTATATTTAGTGGGACAGACTACACTTATTGGAAGACACGAATGTGAATTTTCTTAATTTCTATGGATTTTGATTTATGGAATGTCATTGAATATGATTTTCAAAAATCTTCTAAACCAATGAAGATTTTTGAGAAGAAAATATTTTCTTTAAATACTCAAGCCATGAACACTTTATTTTGTGCTTTAGACAAAAATAAGTTTAATCGTGTTTCTATACGTGAAACTACATATAATATTTAGCACACACTTGAAGTTACTCATAAAGACATAAATAGAGTAAAAGAATCTAATATTAATCTTTTGATACATAGTTATGAATTATTTAGAATGAAGCCAAGTGAAATCATTAGTGACATGTATATCCGTTTTATGGATGTTGTTAATGGATTGAAAGTTCTTGGTAAATGTTATACTAATCTTAAAATGGTTAACAAAATTTTAAAATCTCTTTCAAAAGTTGGGATCCAAAGGTAATTGCAATTCAAGAACTCCTAGGTTCATTAATGACTTATGAAATGACTTACATGACAAATGATGAATATAAATGAACTTAAAAAGGACACCCAGGTTGTTTCGAACAGCTTCTCTTCTTCACCACATGGCCGAAGCGTATTAGAGTAAGGGATCAACGATGTAAACCACAATCCCAGCGGTCCCAGTTACTTGATTTCTCCATTCTTTATACTATAGGTGTATGCATCTTTAAGTGTAGCGAAAACAAGTAGCGTAGTCGTCGCCACCTCACACAGCATGGTGAAAGTCACGGTGAGTGGTTCCTTGAACCCCATCCGGTCCAAGCTTATCTCATGCACCGTCACCCAGCGTATCGCACCGTTGCCACTCTTCTCCAGCAGCTCTAGAGCGAACACCCGAGAAGACGTACGGTAATGAATCAGGCAAACCGACTTTCCCTCCCACTTTCCGATCCCAATGGTGTCAGAGGGAGCGATGTTCATTCTTTCTGGCGGACGGATGATCTGCATGCACTCGGTCCTCAGGTCGAAAGCGACGACGTACCGGTTAATCATCATGAGCGGTCCCGGCGTCGACACCCAGAATATGGTCTCGTCGTAGACCACCGGGTGATCCAAGTCTATTGCGCCCCCTCCAAAGTCAAGACGCTTGTCCATCGTCTACATCTTTGCCACCGAGTCGTAGACCTGGCAGCGGCGAAACGAGTTCCACTCCGAGGTTGGTGAGAGGTAGACCAGCTTGTAGTCTTTCATCACCTTCTCTCCGTCGTTCATGAAGTTCACTACCGCGATGCCACCCTCCAAACGCATGTCCGATGGTGTGGGTAGATGACACCGAGTCCTACGTGCCGGGTTGTAGACAAATAAACTATGGGTGGTAGCACAGCGGTTGTCATGCCTGACGAAGACAAGGCCATCAGCTGACCCAAGGATGAAGCCATTGTTCTTTCTCAGGAATTCGCCAAAGGTTCTGGGCACGCCGACGCAGGGGTCAACGTGGAGAAAGGACTCGAAGGAACTGTAGCTCTTGATGAAGAATTCGGAGATGGCTTCGCAGAGATATGATTGTGAAAGGAGGAAATGAGACTCTTCTGAGAGTTCGTGGAAGCTCTTATAGACAGATTGGAGTCTGAAGAAGGTCTTTGCGGGGAGATAGGAGAGGATCACTTGGTGCACGTTGTCGAGAAGCCGACAGCTACCGGTTCTAGGCTTCTCCTGACCCACGATGCCGAGGCTTTTCTTGAGTGGAGCGCTCATGGCTGTAGGCAAGAAATCTTACGGTAATAGAGGGAGATTCGAAAACCACGATGTATAAAAAATCTCACGGAATAGTGTGTATATATATACACACTTTACATGTAGATATATATGTATATATATGTTAACATATACATATATATATATATATATATATATATATGTATATATGTATATACATATATATATATATTTATTTATTTATATGAATACATATATTTATGTATATACATTATATATATATATATATATATATATATATATATATATATATATATATATATATATATATATATATATATATATATATATATATATATAAAAAAATATAT